CAGCTCCTGGTTCTTTGGCTGGGTACAACACCCAGCATATTGTTACCTTTGCGATTTTAAAAATCCACAGCATTTAAAAGGATCATACCTATGTCTGCGTAAGCTAGACTGACTGAGGTTTAAAAAAGCCATAAAGGCAATGTTTGTCTTTAAATGTCAAACATTGTGAGAGTAGATTTAGTGTTCTTTCCTACCCATGAATAACATTCCAGACTGTAATTAATTTATCCATGTTCCTATCAGCACAGCATTATTCCAGGACAAAAACGGGGTGGAGAGTGACAGAGGGGGTAGGAACACTGTGATTTCTTCTGGAAAAGCTTTCTTAATTGGATCTGTGCTCTTTTCATAACAATGTGAAGGTTGTGGTTACTTGTTAACTGCAAGGGCAGCTGTAATGCCCAAACCTGTGGGTCTACAGCCAACTGCGTCTCATCTTCCCTGGGTGACTTGAGGGTGCTGTGAATGAGTGCCAATGACCCCAAGACCTGGGCAGAGGCAGCCTAAATGACCATGTTCATGGACAGTCTTGCTATCCACCAGTCAGGCAGCATTCAGTGGCATTTTTTGGGCACAGTACACAGTAGAGACCTATGAAATTGACTGTTATGCAGTTAGTTGACTTTGTCTAATGGAAAAAACAGTCCTTCCTCTAAATCAGGGGTTCCTAATGTGGCACCCACGAATGGCCTAGCATATCAGGGGTCTAGAGAGCTCTTGAATTGTAGATCAAATGTTGCACATGTGTGCATTGGGATGGGTGGGGGCAGGATGGCGGGGGAGAGCCATACTTTTTCTCAGATTCCAAGAATCTGAAAAAATTAATAACCATTGTTCCAAAGTGGTAATAGAACATACACATCTGACATAGCCAAAAACACTTGCAACACAACTAATCAGCAAGGTCAAAGCAATTCCATGAGGAACGGAGTTCTCAGGTATGCCAAGGGAAGAAACAGCTGGGTAAGGGGCTTTGCAGAAAGTAGATCCTGGAACCAAGTGGCAAACGCTACTCCTACAGAACCAGTAGGGCCGTTCAGCACGGGAGCCTGCTGAGGGTCCTTGTGGAGGAGAATGTGGATTAGCAGGGCCTGTGGTAAACTCCGGTTTGCATTTTGTGTAGGAAGTTGACAGCATCATCATCAGTTCTGCCAGTTGGCTACTCTGCCAAAAGCGGGCATGACATTCCAAGTCCCCTGAATTTTGTTGAATATGAGAGAGTTCTCCATTTTTTTTTTTTTTTTTTTTTTTCGGGGGTTTTCTCATGTTTCCCAGGCTGGAGTGCAATGGCGCGATCTCGGCTCACCGCAACCTCCGCCTCCTGGGTTCAGGCAATTCTCCTGCCTCAGCCTCCTGAGTAGCTGGGATTACAGGCACGCACCACCATGCCCAGATAATTTTGTGCATTTTCAGTAGAGACGGGGTTTCACCATGTTGACCAGGATGGTCTCAATCTCTTGACCTCGTGATCCACCCGCCTCGGCCTCCCAAAGTGCTGGGATTACAGGCTTGAGCCACCGCGCCCGGCCGAGTTCTCCATTTTTAAATCTTAAAAGTGAATTCAAAATTAAAGTAAACAAACAGACCCTATGCCTAGAGGCTCAGAGCTGGTCAGAGGTGCCCATTCTTAGATCTTTGATGGGGAGTTGAGGTTTTTAAAAAGTCCTGGGCCCCTTTCAGAGGCAGGCGTCAGCCTGTGCTGTGTAAAACTGGAAACACGCTAGACTCACGAAGAACAGTCTGGAAGGCGGAAAGGTGAGTCATGCACAGAGAACAGTGGCACCCTGAGTGCTGGTCTAGAAGCTCTGCTACAGGGGCAGAGGAGTGGGGCGTGAGGTCGGTGAGCTGGAACAGCCTGCAGGGCTCCAAACAGGTTGTGGGTGGTTTCTTTCTGGAACCAGAACAATCCTCTAGGAGGTCTTAGGAGAATGCCGGGACGCCACACACATGGCTTGGGAGAGAGGCTTCTCACGTGCAGCACTCATTCCCAGGCAAAAAGAGTCCTGGGAGGAAACTGACACAGGCCACCTATGACCAAGCAAATTAGACAGAGAAATGTTGGTCAAAGGAGGGAAATAGAAGAGACTGGAGAGTGACCAATGGCTCTCAGAAGACATGGATGTGTTAAGCCACCCATGTGGGAAGGGGATAGAGCTGGGGGGGGTGGTGACACAGCCAGTAGCTGGGTGGGGTCTCTTTCATTATTCTGTACCCCGCCAGTGGGGCAGAATGGGGACTTCAGGGCCATTGTTTACCTTGGACTTTTTCATGGGGAGGAAATATTATGCTTTCAGCATACTATGACACTCAGTTTATGCTCTGCTGCTGCTTAAGAAAGATTGTTGCCAGCCAGGCAACTGTAATCTCAGCTCTTTGGGAGGCTGAGGTGGGTGGATCACGAGGTCAAGATATCGAGACCATCCTGGCCAAGATGGTGAAACCCCATCTCTACTAAAAATACATAAAAACACCATCCATCACTTACCTAAGCCTTTACTTTCTGACAGAGCTTCCATTCATGCTGTCTTCACAATAACCAGGTGACAGGTGGGCAGGCATTGTCCTTCACTCTGACAGGAATAATGTTCCCTGCAGCTGATCTGGGCTGCTCCACACATGTTTGCCTGGTCTACAAATTGTTACTAAAAGGGTTACACATCAAAGCTTGGTGAGAAAAACATTTTGCTTCAATCCATTATTCATTTGGAGAGGTAGGCAGGAGGATACTGCAAATGTACAGCATGACCTGGAGGAGAAGAATCCAGGGAATTTTCAGATAAAGTTTATGTAATTTTTCTTAAATATTAAAGTACATAGAGTTTGATATGGTTTGGCTGCATCCCCACCCAAATCTTATCTTGAATTGTAATCCAAATTGTAATCCCCATGTGTTTGCAGGAGGGACCTCCTGGGAAGTGATTGGATCATGGAGGCTGTTCTTCCATTGTTCTCATGATAATGAGTGAGTTCTCACGAGATCTAACGGTTTCACAAGGGGCTTTTCCTTCCGCTTTGCTCTGCACTTCTCTCTCCTGCCGCCATGTGAAGACGGACATGTTTGGTCCCCCTTCAGCCATGACTGTAAATTCCTGACACCTCCTCGGTCATGCTGAACTGTGAATCAAATTAAACCTCTTTCCTTTGTAAACTATCCAGTTTCAGGCAGTTCTTTATAACAGTGTGAGAATGGACTGAGTTGTTGCAAAACAAAAAAAGGAAGGAAAACATAGGGTAGCATAAATAAGATATTAAATCCCTGGGAGGCCTACCACTAATAGACAATGTTAACATGGTGGTGTGCTTCCTTATAGAAATAACACCTGACATCCAATATTTACACTTTAGGACCTTACGTTTTGTGGGGGTTTTGTTTTTTGTATTTGTATTTTTCACCTAACATGATAATATAAAGATCTCCCATGTTAGTTTTTTGTTTGTTTGTTTATTTTGCGTCAGAGTTTGGCTCTTGTTGCCCAGGCTAGAGTGCAATGGCATGACCTCAGCTCACTACAATCTCTGCCTCCCGGGTTCAAGTTATTCTCTTGCCTCAGCCTCCCAAGTAGAGATTACAGGTGCCCACCATCATGCCCAGGTAAATTTTTGTATTTTTAATAGAGAAAGGATTCACCATGTTGGTCAGGCTGGTTTTGAACTCTTGACCTCAAGTGACCCACCTGCCTCAGCCTCCCAAAACGCTGGGATTACAGGCATGAGCCACTGCACCTGGCCCCATGTTGTTACAAACTGTTTGTAAACATTATTTTAAGGACTGCATATAATATTCTACTACGTAGAATAATATGTACTATAATTTACCTATTTTTCAATTTTTAGATGTTTAGATTCTAGTTATTGTAAGTAAAAATACAAAGAACTTTTACATGCATAAGGCTTTTTCTACAGCTCTGATCCTTTCCACAGAATAGATCTCACACAGTGCAATTTCATGTCATGGCAATGAACATTTCAGGACCTTCCAACCTGGCTGTGTGGGTTCATTTTGCCCCACATTGCAGGGCAATGCTGGTTCTGCCTGTCACAGACACATCGGTGCCCTCCTCGGAGAGCCTCCAATCACCTCGTCCGCATGAGAATGCCGAGGTCGAGGCCCAGGGACAAGCGACCTGCGGAGGAAGACCATGGAGGCAGCGACCCTAGAGAATGTCTTCTAGGCCTAGGTCAGTAACCTGCCTCTGCGACCCACCTGCGGAGCAGGAGCCTGGAGTTTAGATGTCATTCCCCAGAAGGTTCATGAGATTGTCTTTTGGGGACTGCCCCTTCTCACTCTTGTCTGCCAAGCTGGTGAGCAATAGCTATGAAATTTGTTGGGAAGTCACCTGGGTCATTGCATGGTTTGCTCCCTGGAGAAGGACGGAAAGACGGAAAAGCCCCCAGGACGTTAGAGTGCGCGCCAAGGCTTTGGGTGCCTCCAGCGACTGCCTACTGCTCTGGGTCCCCTCCCGTCTGTCCCACAGCTGCACCCCCTGCTTAGGGCTGCACACTCAGTAAGCAGGCGCTTAATAAATGTTTGCCAAGTCGGGGTGTGGCCGAAGCTGGGGTGCGCGATGAGGCTAGAAAGAGCCGTGGGGGCGGAGGATAAGCGGTCTTCGGAGTGATTATGTTCTGAGATGTGTGCAGACCCGCGCGTCCGAGGGTGGGGCGTCTCCCAGAGGGCCTTTCTCCGGGCTGCAGTGGCTTCCTCCCTGGCAACCTCAAACTTTTGCCGGAAGGTAGGTGGATCTGTCGGTCCGTCGGCTTTCTGGATCCTAACGTAGACGTTCTGCCGGCCCTGAGCTTCTCCGGCAAGATCCAAAGCGCTTCCGGCGGAGTTGGTCTGGGGTGCAAGGTGCTGAGGACCCGGGTGATCCGGGACTGGTGAGGGGTGGTCCCAGGGGACCCTGGGCTGGGCCGTGCGGGTGGCTGGAGTGGGGCGGGACGCGTGGCGGCTCTGGGAGGCCCTGGGAGGCCCCGCCCGCCCCCCAGCGCAGCGCTCAGGCGCTCAGACGGTGCCAACCCCGGGGCTGGACTGTCGGTGGCCTCAGCGCTCTGCAGGCGCGCACTCCGCCCCACACCCGGCTCTCTCGGCATCTCAGACGCAGGTAAGTCAGGGGCTCCCACCTCCGCGGCCCTCTTCCGGGTCGCGGGTGGCCTAGCCCGGCGACCCTGGGTTGGGGGGGGGTCCTGGAACCTGCGTCTCTCGACCCGCAGCGGGCACGCTCCAGGCTAGAAGCGCCGCGACCCCCAGAGTGGGAAACAGGATAGGATGTTCAGCCTCTCCCCTCCTTCCCTTCTGCCATTCTCACTGCTTATACAACAAACGCGTAGGAAAGCATCTCACCAACATAGAACAAAGAAAACATTCCTCCATTATTAAGTTATAGACATTCTTGTGGAATATTTAGAAAACACCTACATGCAAGTTTCAAACGAAAAAGAAAATCAAAACCACTCACGGGACCTGAGTCCCCACTTTGTTTCAAAGATCTTCAGCTTTTTTCTTTTTCTTTTCTTTTTTTATTATTATTTTTTTGGACCAGCTCTTGGGTCTTGGCATCTCCCTGCAGAAAGGGCATGGGACACGGAGAACATTACTGATATCTGATCTTGACTGCGGTAATGGGAAAACTGGGGAACTTTAGAAGAAAGTTGACTAAGCAGCAGAGACATATGCATGTGAGCAATCTACTGCATAATACATTGCCTCCCGGATTTGTCACATTGCTCCATGAGAATTGACAGTTCATTTGAGTCCACATTCAGATTAAGAAGGAGGTTCCAGATGCATTAAGGAAGTACCTTGTCAATAACCGTAGCTATCATTTATGGTCCAGGTAGTGGGGACTTTGCTGAGTTCACCCAGTTGCTTAAATTCAGCCATGACTGATTTTCAATGACCAGGCAAAACTGATCTTCTTTCTCTGGCCAGTTTCACACAATCCTCAGGTTAGCTGAGGATCCCTTGGAGGAAGATATTCTCTGTATCCAAAGGAAATAGTCAAGGATGTTCAGGTAGGACCTGCTTTTGACAGGTTATTGGAAAATGAATTGTCTTGAAAATAAAGCTCACTTAGAAGACATCAGAGGGACTCATTGCTGTCATCTTAAATCTCTGAGGGCGAGACAGCTCTTGTGTGATTTCGGGCTTTCTGGTAGTTGAGTGGAACACTTATTATTCATGTGTTCATGCATGCCTGCCTGCATTTGCTGAATGTTTATGGTGCTCCTACCATATGCCAGACACTGTTCTAGCTGCTTGGGATGCAATGAAGAACAACCCAAGCAAAGATCCTTGCCTGCAAAAGCTTGCGTTTTGGTGGGAAAGACAAACATTGAACAATCAACATGATAATTAAGAAAACTATATTATACTGGAAGGTGACAAAGACTATGGAAAAGGAGGAGAGAAAACGTTAAGAGTTACTGGGAATGGGGAAGGAAGGAAGAAAATTGTGATCTACTGTTAACAATCACTAACTGCCTGAAAGTGTTTTAGAAATAAAGTGGGTTGCAGATACATAGATAAGAATACTGTAGACCTTAATATACAAAATAAGCAATAACAAAAATACATTAATAATATAAATATAAATATAAATAAGTAATATGAAATTGAATATATAAAAACATGCTACATTGCAAAAGTTTTTCCTTTGATTACTAAACAATCTATTTTCAGAGCGTAGTATACTTTATCAGCTATTCACTTACTTTCCCATTGTAGTGGTATTGAATCTAATTCTTTGCATTCCCATTTAGTTCAGGAAAACCTTATTGAAATATTCTGGGTACTGGAGTGGGGACAAAGGAGAGCAAGATGGTCTCTGTCCTTTGGGACCTCCTGGGAGGAAATGTCCAGACAAGGCTACAGATGGTTAGAAGTTAGAATATGACCAGCACTGCAGGAGAGATATGACAAGGTATGAGGGGGTCAATGAAGGGGAAGAGATTCTGGATCCGAGTCAGACAGTGTGAATATGAGCTGGCTTTTGAAGGACCAGTAGAATTTTAACAACAGAATATGGTGGGAATGCCTCACCTATAGAGAGAACAGCAAACATAAAGCAAGAGGCCGGGTGCCGTGGCTCATGCCTGTAATCCCAGCACTTTGGGAGGCCAAGGCGGGCTGATGGCTTGAGTCCAAGTATGCAGAGCCTGGGCAACAAGGCAAAACCCTGTCTCTACTAAAAATACAAAAATTAGCTGGGATGGTGGCATACACCTGTAAACCCAACTACTCGGGAAGCTGAGGCATGAGAATCGCTTGCACCCAAGAGGTAGAGGAGGTTGTAGTAAGTTGAGATTGTGCCACTGCACTCCAGCCTGGGCGACAGAGCGAGACTCAGTCTCAAAAATAAAATAAAATAAAATAAAGCATGCCAGGAAGGTTGGGGGCTGATCCCATGCTGCACAAAAACCTGGGGCATATACCCCAAATGCTCACACATGTTTTCACAGAGTTTGATCGAGTCTCCTCACCACCTCGCCCACTTAGTGCCCCCTGACTCTGGGGAGAGGGGAAGGACAGAAGACCAGGCACAGCCAGCCAACTTCCAGGAAGCATCTGGTGGCCCTGGGTGGCTTCTTTTCTGCAACGAGGTAAATGTGTTTCCAGAATTTGGACATAGTGTTGTGATAAAGATGAAAACAATAGACAGTTGCTTCCAAGGACAATTGACTCAAAATTCTTGGCTCAATAAGATCACATTCACCAAAATGAGGCTTACCCCATTTTGTGTGAGTGTGTGTGTGTGTGTGTGTGTGTGTGTGTGTGTGTGTGTGTGTAATTATATATAGTATATAATGAGGGTAGATTCCATCATTTCCACTGAGGCTCCCTGGATTTATTTCATTTGCTGAAGATGAGATTTCTTCCTTCCCTCCTGATGTGTGGCTTCAGCTGTCATTCAAACACTCGCCCATGTTTTCATATTGAGTTTGATGGAGTCTCCTCACCGGCTCGCTGGCCTGACTCCCTGAGCATTCCGTGTTTATATTTCCATCCTTTGCACCCCAAGCCCTCTCTCCATCAGCTGCAGAGAGGTCCAGGAAGCTCCCAGTAAAAGCACCAGACTCAAGCCACACCCCACGTCCTGCTGGGAGGTGACAGAAAACCCTTTTCTGATCAGAGAGGACAGTCTGATTCTGGGCCTCTGCACGGTTTCATCCTGATTCTTGAGAGACCCTGGCCATCTTAGTGCCCACGGACTCTGGGAAGAGGGGAAGGACAGAAGACCAGACAAAGCCAGCCAACTGCCTGGAAGCATGTGGTGGGCCTGGGTGGCTTTTTTTCTGCTAGGATGTAAATAACATTTCCAGATTTGGACACAGTGTTGTGATAAAGATGAAAACAATAGACAGTTGCTTCCGAAGACAGTTGACTCAGAGTTCTTGGCTCAGTACAGTCATATTCACCAAAATGAGGCTTACCCATCATTGTTTTCACCCTAATTCTGCTTCTTAAAACAAATGAGGCCAAATGATGACGTTAAGAGTGGATGCTCTTTGAAGAAATGTGTAAGGAGTGCTGTCAAACCTGATAAAAATGCTACCCCAGTCAACCTAGGGACGTAAGTTAAGGAGTCATGTAGTTTATCTAGGACTGAGCTGGGGCTGGAGCCCAGATTCCTGAGCTCTGACTCTGACATTTCTGTCTCCCCTACTCACCCCTAGAATCTATTCCTTTTAAAAGAAAGCTTGGAGTCAGCCACAAGAACCTTACCCAGTCAATAAGTGGGTTAAGAAAGACTGATCAGGATCCGGGAGGGTTTGCTAATAATAATAAAAGAATGAGAGGGGTATGCTCAGGGCAGGGGGCCTGAAGAACGGCTCCTCCCTTTTAAACACACTCAAAAGGACTCTGAGGTCACAGGGATGAGGGGAACAAATTTGTGGCCTCCCCATGAGCAAATGCCCCACTCATCTCCCCTGCAGAATCAATGGGACAGGGCTCAATATTGTAAGGAAGTCTGCAGTATTTACTGGGGAAGGCTACTGTCTACAGCCTGACCAGCTTATGCATGGGTAGGCCACAAATGGTCTTAGAAATAAAGGCTTTGGGGGGGGGGGGAGAGAGAGAGAGAGAGAAAAGAAAAAAAGAAAAAGAGAGAAAAAGAGAAAAAAAAAGAAAGAAAGAAAGAAAGAAAGGAAAGAGAGAGAGGGAGGGAGGAAGGAAGGAAGGAAAGAAAGAGAGAAAGGAAGGGAGAGAGAAAGAGAAAGGAAGGAAGGGAGGGAGGAAGGGAGGGAGGGAGGGAGAGAAAGTTTCTCATGCTGGGAAAGCGTCTGTTCGGAAAGCTTCCAGGCTGTTATCAGTGCTGATAGGCCACACAGCCGGAGCACGTGGGATAAGTCAGAAGGGTGGTGTGTGCCGGGAGCAGCGAGGCGCCACCCACTGCCCTCTTCTCCCCTGCGTTCAGCTGGGGGCCTAACGGAACTCCAGAGTGCAGGAGCCCCCGTTGGTCTCATCTACAGGTGCTTCACTCAGCTCGGCTACCCAGAGCCCTGTGTCCTGAATGATTTCCAGCAGACCAGCAGCTCTGGGTCTAAGCTTTTAAGAAAACAAAGATTATGCTACCCTTGATTAGGGGCAGCATTCATGTCTCACACCCAGGCAGAAGCAGAAATGGCAAGAATCCACCCTTACTTTCTGGGCCAGACAAGGCCACGGTTTGAGAATGTTCAGCACAGGCTGAGCATCAGATGGACTTTGTTTGGAGTTGAACATCCCTGGCCCCTACCGTTTCTGTCTCCCTCATCCCTTTAATCACTGTGCAAGCCACAAAAAGCTGAAGGGATAGGAACAGGGATGACTTCTGATGGCATATTTAGGTAAGAAGCCAACCTCCATTTGCATAGATCCAATGCTACCTGATAAAAGTGGCGTATTCCTCAGCTACTTTGAGCCTCAATAAAGGGTCCGTTTCTTCTGTACAAGGTCCTGGGAATTGCTCTTTTTTAAATCAAATATGAGTCAATAGCTAAGAGGTTACATTTTAGATATATTTTTGGTTGTCTATTTCTGTTTTTATTATTTATTTAAGTTCCAGGGTACATGTGCAGGATGTGCAGGTTTGTTACATACGTAAACATGTGCCATGATGGT